ACATAGTGGGAGAAAACATCGCAGTTCTAAAACATCGTGGTACAAAGTATCGTCGTCGAAAATAAAGCGGTTAAAAAACTTCGCAGTTTAAAAGCATCGCGGTAAAAAATAAAGTATCGACAAATCATCGCAGGACGATAACATCGCAGACCTGCTTTTTTCAGGCTTTAATAATTGTAAATGGTTATTCCCATAATGATTTGTGATCGCGAGATGGAAAGAAAGATAACTTTTAATTTCATATTTTTTATTAACTAATAAATTTTTGCTGAAAAAGTAAGAAGGAAACTTAATACTTAAGAGTAAACTGAAGCAGAACAAGAAATAATTTTCATAATAAGAGTGTTAGATTGACAAAAGTGAAGAAAGCAATCTCATAATTAGCAATTTTTTATGAGGTCATGCAGTTACGTAGCTTCCTTTTTCTAAACATTTTTAGATTATACCTTTAGTGAAAAAATACCAGTAAAAACCTTATAAAAATGATTTATTAATGACCTTTGTTAGTTAATTATGTCAGTTTAAAATTCTATTAAGTGCTATAAGTTGCCTTAATTTTCTATGCTTAAATTTCCTTCTTACTTTTTCAGCAAAAATTTATTAGTTAATAAAAAATACAAAAGTAAAGATTATCCTTCTTTCCATCTTGCGCTCACAAATCATTATGAAAATATCCATTTACAATTATTAAAGCCTGAAAAAAGCATGCCTACGATGTTATCGTCATGCGATGATTTGTCGATACTTTATTTTTTACCGCAATATTTTCGAACTGCGAAGTTTTTGAACCGCTTTATTTTCGACGACGATATTTTGTATCACGATGTTTTCTCCCACGACGTTTTCGCCTTGCGTTGTTTTCTCCGCGATGTTTTCGGCTGTAACCCTCTTCATAATATGACAGCAAAAAAATATCAATGTTTTATTTTAATGTTATTTTGTAAATATAACTTCAATATATTACCATTATTTTAGTTAAATTTATCAATGTTATAATGTTTAAAAAAAAATCGTAGAAAAATTCCCAGATCTCCGATTTAAAAATTTTCTAGAGAAACTGATATTAAAATCATCGAAATGTTGATAAGTCACCAAATTTGAGCTGTTTAATAAAAGAATTCACATCCACAAAAGCAGAAAGTTGTTTAGAGCTCTTCATTAGAAAAAAAAATGAAATAATTTTGAAATACTTATGTTTCACGCCTTGCTCAGAAACTCCAGTATCCCACCTTTCATATTAGAAACAGGAACAAATTATAACCCATGAACAGATAATCATATTTGTCAGTGAATCGCCAATTCTTCCAAAATGATAATTCACACTCAAAATAGCACTTACAGGGTGATCAGCGAATAAGCCCTGATTTCAAAATTAAATATCTCTACAACAAAGATCGGTAGAATTATGCGGTAAACTGTACATTTATTAGCAAAACTGTAAAAATGGTGTACAAAAGTTTATAAAATTTAGTTATGAAACAGATGTTAACAGATGGCCCTCTAATCGCAATGACCTATCAATAGCCTTTAAAATGTGCTTCGAAGTCGAAAGTGATCAGTACAACTGTTGGCTAGTGAAAAGAGGCTAGCGTAGAAAGTGAAACAATGTATTCCATTGAACAATGTGTTTTTTGGTTCTGGAATTTCACCGATTAGAACACAGTCCTACGGCAACACGTTTCAGTTTTCAAAACCGATTCAATGCTTCAGTTGGCCCCGATGTGAAAACCATTCGCATGCTCTTCGCAAAATTCGAATGGACTGGCAGCATGGCTGATGATCGAAAGGAAAATGTTGGGCCTAAGCAAACTATAGTCACTCCTGAAAATGCAGCCGAAGTTTCTGGATTTGTTCAGCAAAATCCTAGGAAAAGCATCTGATGGATTGCATCAGAGACAAGTTTGAAGTACATGAGCATGCAAAAAATATTTTAAAAAAGCCTACGGCTGTTTCCATACAAAACCCAAAGTCATCAGGCCAATACCCATGAAAGCTATGCAACAAAGGGTTGACTTTGTGAATCAGATTCTAAACAATGGTCGAACAACGACAGATTTCATGTGAACTGCATCTGGTTCACAGAATGAGGCACATTTTTATTTTAATGGAATCGTTAATAAAAAAAAAAAACTGGAGATCTTTGGGGCTACCAAAAAAAAATCCTCATTTGTGTGCAAGAAAAAGCCCCGTATTAGGCGAGGCTTTTTCTAAAGTCGTCTTGGCGAGACAATTCGTCTAAAGTTACTGCATGGGCTGCGGTATGTGCCAGAGGCATTATCGGACACTTTTTGGTACGAGAAACGATAACTACTGAACATTACGTTACAATTTGTCAGCACTCAACTAGCGTTGAAGGATCGACCAGGTATCGACTGGTTCCTGCAAGATGGGGATCGACCACATGGAACAAATAAAGTTTTTCCCTTTCTTCATGAATACTTTGGGAATAGAGTAATTGCATTAGATTATCCTCAATTTATTGACACAGGAATAGCGTAGCCTCCATATTGTCCCGATCTGAGTCCTTGTGACTTTTTTTCTGTGGGGCGCATTGAAGACGCTGTCTATCGAAACAATCCTGCTACTCTAGATGAGCTTGAATCGTTGATTGGTGCTGCATGTGATTCCATTTCTGTCAAGACATTGCAAGATGTAATGTCAAATTTTATTGTTCATTTACGCCACCTCACTGTTTCGAACAGTGAACATTTTGAAAAAATTGTACTTTGATTGCAAAGGCTGCTTCACTTTATTTTTTTAAAGATTTTTTTTACTCCTTTCAGAGAAAGAGTTTTCAGTGCACAGTGCCATCTGTTAACGATTTTCTTAACTAAATTTTCTAAATTTTTGTACACCATTTTTACAGTTTTGCTAATAAATGTACAGTTTACCGCATAATTCTATCGATTTTTGTTGTAGAGATATTTAATTTTGAAATCAGGGCTTATTCGCTGATCACCCTGTATGTAAACAAGACAGAAATTTCAGCTGATTAAAATTAAGGACCTTCTGATGATTTTGGCTGAAATTAAGGACTTTTAAGGACCAAAAGGCGATTTAAAAAAACTTCAGGACTTTTAAGGACTCTTAAGGACCGTGCGAACCCTAGTTTACAGAGAGAATTTTATAACTAGCACAAGTCAGTTCAAATGCTTCACACAAAGATTTTAACTGCAATATTTGTATGACAGAATTTTTTAACTATTAACTGAAAGTTAATTGGGTTAGCTTTGTGTTGGCCTCACCTTAATTATATATTAATGACTGAGCATTATTTTGTATTAAAAATGCCATAATTGTTTTTCTTGACTACAAAGTATCCAAAGCTTGTGCTGCCTGATCATATTTTGTTTTTCTTCCCAGAAGACAAAAAGAAAGAGCATCATAATTTTATTTTCATATTTCAGTTTTGTTCTCAAGAAAACTATATACAAGTTTTCTTATCTAGAAAGAAAATGTTTTAAAATTGTTATAAAGATTATTATTACATCGTTCAATATCAATTTATTGTTAATAAAACCAATTGTCGATTATTTTTAAGAAAATCAGAAGAAAATTCTAGTGTTCGAAACAAAATATTTAATATATATGAAAATTCTAAAATTCATATATTGTAAGATCTTACGTTTGTGAATATACAGAAGAAATATCAGAAATGATTTATTAAGCCTAACTGCTGATTGTGACAATGCACTACACAAATAGTTCAAGGTTGATGAAAGAAATGCACACTCATTAGAACCTATACTCATAAAAAAGCAAAAAGTACACTAGGGTTAAGGATCAATAATTTGTTCTACTTGGTGGTAACATTGCAGGTTTAAAATACGCCAATAATATCAAAGGTTTTCTGCCCTCAAATACAACACCAGTGGTCCAACCTAGGGATTAAGGTTGTAATAATGCTTTTTAAGGCAAATTACCTAAGTTTGACATTTGCTCAGACTGTTGCCACAAATGAAACAGACTCTCAGTTGTTACTGCATGATTTTTGGAAACCATATTGCATTTGAAAATGCATAAATGGAATTTGGAAAGAATGTGTAGAGAATTTGATAAATAAATTTAAATGTTCCCCCAATGAGAAAGGATCTGCAAACAGTTCATGAAAATATTGTTACACTCGTTAAAGTTCATTCCCTAGAATGTTAAGATGTTGAACTCTTGCTAGACCATGAGTCTAAAGAAATAATCAATGAGGAATTGATTGCATTAGAACAAGAAATAACTGAAAAAGAAGAAGGAAGCAAAACAGAGAAAAAAATTAAATCATAAAAAAAAAAAAAAAAAAAAAAAAAAAAAAAAAAAAAACTACCACAAAGAGCTTAACTGAATGCTTATCTGAATGAATTGTTAAATCAATTTCCTGCTAAGTTGGAAACCATGTATTAAAACACATTTGACAGATTTAGAAAAAAAAAGGGGGGGGCAAAGGAAGCTTTATGTCCCCATTATGAAATTTATGATGAAGGAAAAGACAAGCAGTTCAGACAAAACTAACAATATTTATGAAAATGTCAGGGCAACAAATTAGAGCAACAATCATAATTCATGAAAGTCAGGCTTCTCCTAGTGATAGCACAAGCAATTTCGCAGACAATTTTCTGTGGCAAATAAACTCTGTTCTTAAGAAGAAAAAGGTAATGCAGGAATTCAGTTATTTATTTTTTTAAATCAAGATCGAGATGAGACCAAATACACTTATGACCAATGAGAAGGAACCAAACATAGTAAATTACCCTCTGTATAATGAGTGTTAAAATATTCTTCGAAATCAACTGATATTTAACTTCATCTTTAAAAAAATCATTTTTACAAATTTAACATATAAAAATAGATCAATTTTCTACACTAAATAAGTATCAAATATTAAAAAAACCAAAACTGTGTTTTTCAGTGTTCTACTATAATTAGATGGTATTCATTTTCTACCTTCCAAAAGAATAATAATTACAAAAAGATTATTTTAAAAAATGAAAAAAAAAAAAAAAAATACTCACACCCCCTCTCTTTTTCTTTTACTTCTTCAGGCTAAAATTAAAAAAAAAATACACAAATAAAATAAAGCTAAAAAATAATATGTATCATACATAATAATTATTCTTTATCACATTAGCTTATTTTCTATATTTAAAGTAATGTTATGATATGTAGGACATTTTTATGTAAGAATGCTCCACAATATTGTTTTAAGGCATACATATTTACAATTTTTCATATTTCCAACATTCCTTGCATACAAATGGACACCTTTTTGAATCATGATGAGAAGCATGCATTTGCGTGATAGAAATGTTTAAGTAGATCAAAGAACTCAGACTCATCTCTATGATAAATCTCAGCTCATCACTATGATAAACATTTCAGTAACAGAAGGAAAAAAACTACGTGAAAAAGTAGTTGAAGGTAGATATAATGAGAAAAAAATAAAGATCCAAAATATATAGTATTTAATTTTTATTGTAAAATAGTCCCTTTAAAAATATGCCTTGCATTTTTAATCAGCTTTGTATCGGCAAACATGTGTGTTTCAGAACTCCAGTAGTAGGAGATAGAAAATACCAACAGGAATCAGAATCACATAGGAAGCAGGGTCCCAGACAGATCAGTGGCTCAGATGGTAGACGGACAGATGGCGTTGTAAGCGACTTCTCGAGGTTAGCATGTGCGATTTTCTCATTGTAGCCAGTGATGGAGAGAGATGAACATGCATTGTTTTACTAATATCAAGTTAGCTGATATTAATTTATTTATGGCCTAGCTAATGGAAATGGACATGCTGCTGTATGACTGTATTGAGAAAAACTTCCAACGATGTGAAATACCCTGTCACCAAATGCTCATTCATGTTCAGAATCTGTGTAAACATAGATCCTTTATACTTCTGACGCATGACATTGGGCGGGTGCAATTAACATGAATAAATAACCTAGAAGAGGGTGTGCTGAATGCTGTGGATCAAAATCCCACTACCAGTGTATATGCGCTTGCCGCTGCAACAACTGTATCCACATCAACTGTGTGGTGCCTTCTGCACAGAGAAAGCCTACATCCTTTTCATCTTCAAAGAGTTCAAGCACTGGAGGCAGATGATTATCCAGAACATGTTGTGTTTGCTTAGTGATTTTTACAAAAACGTTTCTCACTTATGAAATACCCTTTACACATGAGGGGGTGTTCAATACCCACAACATGCACATGTGGATCGTTGACAATCTACATAGAAAGAGACCAACTGCTGCACAACAGTGCTTTGCTGGGCGAGGATCATGGCTGACTGCTTGATTGGTCCATGCATCTTACCACCTCAAATAAACGTTCATAAGTATCTCATTTTTCTGGAACAGGCCACTGCAGAATTGCTGATTAATGTTCCTGCACGAATTACATGCCAAATGTGGTTTCAATATGATAGCGCTCCATCTCATTGTGAAATTTCTGTACATAACCATTTGGACCGTACATTTGGAGGTAGATAGACATAGACTCCAACCTGCAGCAGAACTTGTCGGTAGTCAATGCGCGAACGATATTTTCACAACTAACGATACGATATTTTAACGATATTTTCACAATATAACGAACGATATTTTCACATGCGTGCGTAACGCATGTTGTAATTAACCATTCATTAATTTTTATTTAATTGTAATCAATTTTGTTACATTTAAAATCCATATACATATAAAACTGAATAATTAAAAATATGCCTTGTAAATTATATGCACATTTAAATAGAAATTTTCATTTAACTTCTCAAACATGTATATCACTAAATCTACTATTATATGAAAAAATCACTACTAATCAGAGAAAATCAGAATCCATAAATCATATATCTTTACTCTGGATTTGATTTCTGCAGGAAAATAAAATTTAAATAACCAAGAGTAATACACATTAGTATTAAAAAAATACTTATAATTTACGAATGCAAAGATTTATATGTAGGATGCTTAGCAAGCTTAAATTCTGATTTTGAGAATGTTTTTTTATAACAGAGTTCTTCATTTGCCTGCATACTTATTTTTTCAATCAAAACTGCTTCAAGAGTTTTAGGACCTAAATTTGGTCGAAATTCTGTCTGATTTTTTTTTAACAATAGAAAAAATTCTTTCGCAAGCTGCATTCGAATGAGGTATTACTAAGATGGCAAGCATTCCAGTAGGCAATACTTTGTATTTAATACACCCATTCATATTTTTTAATTTGGCAACTTCTCCCCATGCTATATCAATATGCAAATCTACAATTTCTTTCAAATCATCTACTTGATACATGGAAAAGTTAATTTCCACTTGATTCAGATATTTTTCATCAATAATGGATGGAAAAGTATTCATCAAGTAAAAGAACAGATGAAAATGAAACTTCAGTCCTCAAGTTGATGTCAGCAACTTCAGCATGTTTTAGAAATGGATCACTTAGTGGAAATTTATCTATTATATATGAACATGCAGTTACAAAAAAAAGCTTTCACAGAATTGAAAAATGATTTTACTTCATTTTCATTGAACTTCGCATTTTTTAAATATAGTCTTGTTTCCGCACCAATCACTAAATTTTCATTTTCTTTTTGTTTACTATACTTTTGAAATGAAAGAGATGTTAGAGTAAAATCTTCATATTCGTTAGAAATTACTGATGGTTTTACTAATCTAACAAATATATTCATTAAAAGTTGAACGAGTTCTCTTCTCAATTTATGTATATAAGGAGCTTGTTGTTGCAAATTAATATTTACTGTTATAAACAAAGGCAAAGTATTTTTCAAAAATAACAAGTACACTTTGGTGGTAGGTGACTGTAACATTTTTTTTAATGTTCTGCAATCTCTTTCCTTCATTCTCACTGTTATCTGGTTGATCTCCAAAAAAATTTATCACAGCATTCCACTGTCTAAAATCCTTGTTATAGATTCTAAAAGAGACAACCATGTTGTACTGCAATATTTCAAAATTTTATGCGATTTTGCATTCTATTCCAAAATTTGTTGAGCAACTTTGAAGCTATGTTTCCGTTTCGAACTTTTCTCCAAATAAAAATATACATCTATTAACAACATTTCGATTTCTGAGCCAATTAATTTTTCAGTAGCCTTTTTTGCAGCTATATAAAAGAGGTGGCATGGACAACCTCGGTTGAATTTACTTGGTTGATGCATTTTGATAAACGATGCTACACCTTTAAGCTTTCCAATCATATTACTAGCATTATCTGAAGAAAATGATAAGCAATTTTTCCATTCTAAACCTTTGCTTTTAAAGTTTTTATTTACACAATTAAAAATACCTTCTCCGTATTATTCTGCAAGTGTTTTCACAATAGCGGCAGTTTTTGGTATGACCGCAGCTACATGTTTTTGCTATGGCAGAATCCGGAAACATTGCTTTGAAAGCTCTTTGGAATAATCCGAAACAGAAAGCAGTAGATTGTGTTCAATTAAAAATCGAACACAATAGCATTCGTCTTCTATAGGACCTGTTTCGTTATCTTTTATTAAGAAATTCGTTATTTCTTTAGATTTTACAGTGCCAATTTCTATACGTTTTTGAGAAAAAACATGCCGTTTACAGTCATCTTTTCCACCATGTGCAACTGAGAAGTCTTTGTTGCATACACTGCAGTGTGTGTGATTCACAGAAATTATGGATGCTTTAATGCATGGAAATTCTGAAGAATATGAATCTTTAAATTTCTGCTGAGATAATTTTGGCTTTTTTGTTCAAGGTAGCATTATTAAAAAAAAACTTCCACCTGAATCCCAGTTCACAAGACAGACGCTAAGCTCTCGCCTGGGAGACCAGATGTTTTGGGGGACTAATTGACAAGTCATTAATGGTTGGAGTTACTGATCTACAATTGGGTATTCTTCAAAACCCGCAACGCACTCAATACGTGATATATGACGACACGAGTATTCAGCCAATCATCGGATGAATTAGTTGGTTCCATTTCGTGTACTGGTTCTCCTACTCTGTTTCTGTAAAATCCGTAGTTTTTCTCATACTTTTCGTAGCTCGTAGTTTAACATGAATTTCCGTAGAAACTACAGAGAATCCGTAATAGTTGGAGTCTATGGATAGATTGTGTGTTGTGGCTCCATCGCATGGCTACCGAGATCACCTGATTTATCTTCTCTTGCAGGCAATTGTCTATGGAATGACAGTAGAGCAACTATCACCATCACTGCTGCTTTGATCTGTAAAACATTCAGTATTTATTAACATGTTCGTCAGTTCATGCAGCATAGGTGTTAATCGTGCATTAATGAGAATGGGCAGAATTTCGAACACTTCCTGTGATACAATTTTTTTGTTGTCCAATAAAGTACTTAATACTGCTTTCTGTATTGCGTCCTTGCTTTATCTTTATGTCTCTTTGTTACATAAAGGTGGCATCTGGGACCCCACTTTCCTCTACAGTTCTGATTCCTATTGATGTTTTCTACCTCACCTCCAAGTTTTGAAACACCCTGTATAATTGACATAACTCAGTCATGGAGGTAAAAACTGATATATAATACATTGTCATTTTGTTAATAATAAAAAGTTCTTCATTTAGATAATTAATTTTACTTACAAGCAAAGTTGGAAGCTTTATTCTTGGAACAAAATCATTATATATATTTGGGTTTCGAGTGGAATAAAAACTAAAAAAGAAAAGATAAAAATTCCAATAATATAATGAAATTGCTTTTTTAATACAAAATGCAATAAAAAAGTATTAAAGTTTACATTTAATTTTTTTCAGAGACTTTCATTTATAGTGCATTACAGTTTTCACTTTATAACTAAAATTAACTAAGTCTTTCAGATCAATAACCTTGCTACTCATTTAAAACATATTTAATATAAGTAAAGAAATAATAAATTAGGTATAACATAATATTGAAATTTAATATCCTCTTAAGAACACACACAAAAAAAAAAAAAAATCCCAAATCTTTGCAAAGCAGTATAAGTTACTTCGGTACTTATGTACTATCACAGCCATTTTGGCGCAATTTGGCGATTTGGTACAGTTGAAAATGTTAAAATTTCTTAGCATGTGCAAATTGGCATTTTTTGCGCCTTCTTTGCTAGAAAGATTCCTGAACTATCGATATTTATATAGTATTGGTTTATATATATTTATAGTAGAAAAAAAAGATAGTAATATTGGTAAACAATATCAATAAAGGAAAAGAAAATTTACTTTAGCAATTTAAAATACAAAATTTAGATTATTAAATAAGGATTATGTTACACATTAAAAAAATAAACACTTACATTCTTCTTCGAAGCTTTCTCTCTCGCTCTCTCTTTTTTTTTTTTTTTTTTAAATTCTTCTATTTCCGAAGTACACAGTGATCTGTTTTCACTTCAAAAAACATCAGAAAATCACAGAGACTCAACTTCATGCAATCTTTGGCAACAGCGGCTATCTAGAAATGCATTTCTTCATTGTTTCCTTTAGAAAATTTTTAGCAAAATTCTTTATTGCTGCCGAAATTTTACCATAGTTTCTACCATTGCTGGCGAAATCCACAAGTTCATATTTTAAAACTAAGTTTAAGGCAAAAAATATCATGATTTGTGTATAAAAACCATTGGAACTTGTAATACAACAAAATAGAAAGCATATGAAAATGACACCATTACTTGACTGAAACAATTGTTATAAACACGGTTGCCAGAAGAATGGTTATGAGCATGGTTGCCAAAGTTTCGCACTTTCTGAAAATTTGGCTACTTCTACCAAGATCGCTACGATAGTCTATAAGTACCATTATTTCTCGTGTTCTTTAAGGCAGAAATAGAAACATTTAACACCTTAGATCCAATTTATATGTATGAGAAAATAAGAAACAATTTAATTTAACATGGCACTTAAAGTTAAAAATAGTTATTTAATGTATTAGCACTTTGTTGTTAATATGAAACCTAAATAATATAGTTCAGAAGTCGAAAAAGAAATTTGCACTTAATATCATAATGTCAATTTATGCAAAAATCAGGTACGTTTTAAATTACAAATCATGAAACTGCATTAAAAAAAAAGAAAAATGAAGAAATAAGACATCTGATTCGCAAAAACTAGGGAAAAAAATTATTTTATTAAATATCAAAACTCATGTCAAGATTTTGCACTTCTATCACTCTCCATACTCACAGAATCTAATATGCAATACATTTTCTTCTATAGCCCACACCCTTTTTTTATTGCTTTTTTACTTCCTTGTATGAACCAAAGCAGGGATGTCAAACTCATAGGTACACTTGGGCCAAACAAACAAGGTTTAACTTTAGGCGGGCCGCAAAAAAAAAAAAAAAAAAAAAAAAAAAAAAAAAACAATATTCATAGAAACGTAGATTTATTTTGAATAATACAATAATAAACATATATATATATATTTATATAGAAAAGAACAAGAAAAATTTAATGTTTACATCCTGATACTTGACATCTCTTCTCTGCTATTATCTTTGCTATTTCGGGAGAAATTTTGTTTGCAGTGATAACTTTCAACGCTGACCCAAGGTGAGCATCATTAATACGGTCTCTAATAGGAGACTTATTACCTTTCATGACTGAAAATAACTGCTCGCACCGATAAGTGCTACCAAACATGGAAATAATTTCATATGCGAATTTTCGAGTGTTTTCAAACCTGGCTGGTAAATATTTGTAAGATTCAGGCACGCCCACTTCAATGAATTTTGCTTTCAAATTTGAGTTGCATTGAATCTCGATCACCTCCATTTGCATATGGCTGGGTACTGAGTCAATACTTATTGAGAAAATCGAAGAAAACAACAACAACAAAAAAAAAAAAAGTCTTCGAGGGAACTAAAATCATTAAACCTCGTTTCAAATTCAGTTGTTAAATTTGCAATTTTTTCTGCGTATTTTTGATACGAACAAGTATCATCTAAACTTGATTTGTTCATGCTGCACGTCGGGAAGTGCGTCAAATATTCATTTTTAAGTTGTTTTTCCCAAAGAACTAGTTGACATTTAAATGCTTTAATTATGTCAAACATGTTCACAATGATACGAGGGCTATCCAGAAAGTAGATTACGTTTTGGAATAAAAAAATAAACAAAGTATAGGAAACAAATTTTATTATATACAGATGAAAGCCACACTCAAATACTACTTTTCTACATAGTCACCATACAAATTAAGGCATTTATCGTAGCGATGTACGAGCTTGGAAATTCCTTCGTCGAAAAATTCGGCCGCCTGCGCCTTCAACCACTTCGTTACCTCTTCTTGCAGCTGTGCGTCGTCATCAAAACGCTGCATAGCCAGCCACTTCTTCATTGCTGGGAATAGGTGGAAGTCGCTCGGTGCCAGGTCGGGACTGTACGGCGGATGAGGAAAACAACTCCCACTTAAAATTCAAGAACTTTACGAGTGACATTTGCCGTGTGGGGCCGGGCGTTGTCGTGAATCAACAAGATCTTAGAGCTCAACATTCCTCTGCGCTTGTTTGAATTGCTCTTCTGAGTTTTTGGAGAGTTTGGCAATACCTTTGAGAGTTTATTGTAGTGCCTCTTTCCAGGAAGTCCACCAAAATTACACCTTTTCTGTCCCAAAAAACAGTCGCCATCATCTTCCTTGCCGACATTGTTTGCATGCATTTCTTGGGTTTTTGGGGAGAACTTGTGTGCCCCCACTGCATTGATTGCAATTTCGTTTCACAGTTCACATGTTTCACCCATGTTTCGTCACCAGTAACGATGCGATCGAGTAAAGAGTCACCATCCTTATGGTAAGCGTCCAAAAAGTTCAACGCTGCAGCCATTCGCTGATTTTTGTGGTCCTCTGTCAAGATTTTTGGAATCCATCTTGCACAAAACTTGTGGTAACCAAGCTTTTCGCTGATGATTTCGTGCAACAAACTTCGCGAAATTTGTGGAAAACTCAAAGAAAGTTCTGTTATTGTGAAATTTCGATTTTCACGGACTTTAGCATCGACTTTTTCGAGAAGTTCGGTGGTCACTATGCTGGGTCTCCCACTTCGATCTTCGTCGTGAACATTGGTTCGGCCATTTTGAAATCTTATGACCCACTGACGCACTCCACCTTCAGTGATAATGTTGTCCCCATACACTTCACGAAGCTGCCGATAGATTTCTATCGGTTTACAGTTTTTTGCAGTCAGAAACCTTATTACTGAGCGCACCTCGCGGGATTTTCAATTAACGCAGACATTTCAAACCGTCACAGTATCTGAACGGAGCACAGCACGAACCTCTCACTAGCACGGCTAGATGCAGACTGAGCTGCGCAACGCTCTGACCCCAAGATGGCCGCGCTAGCCCCGCCCCTAGCGGACACAGACGGAAACGTAATCTACTTCCTGGATGGCCCTCGTATGATCTTTTCCTTGTAACGATAAATTTAAATCGGCTACGTGTTTGGTTATATCAATCAAGAAAGATAAATCTTGTATCCATATTGGATCATAAAACAAACTTACGTCTTGATTTTTTGTTTTTAAAAACTGACATATTTCTTCTTTCAAATCCCAGAATTGTTTGAGAATCTTGGAGCAAGATAACCAATGTATCTCGGTATAGTAGGACAAACCCGAATACAGTCAAAAGTCTTTAATCCGGACTTGTCGGGACTTTGGCAATTCCGGATTATCGCTTTTTCCGGATTATAGATCATCAGTTTAAATCTGGTAAGATGGCATGCAGAAATTACAAAATTAAAAATATGAAACCGTAATTTATAAAATAATGAGCAATTATGATCTAAAGGGTATCAAATTTTACAAAAAAAGAAGCTTAATATTTATTTGTTTACTTTATTAAACATTTCTTTCAACGCGTGCATGCGTACCTTACACATAGCCGAAATTAGAAAATTGCAACCAGAAACTATTTGATTTGTATTCGTGATATTTATAATGACGAGGAATTTGATTTAAATCATATCAAAGACGGAGTACATCGAGATTAAATACTACATTTAGTAAGGAATTATAAGCCGAATAAAATAAAAACATCTGCCCTGAAGATAAGGATAGTTATGAAAACTTCCATGTAGCTGGCCCCTGACAGATCAACTTCCAGTTCATTGCGTGCCGCGATGCCCCCCCCCCCCCCGCAGAGCAGCGTGAAATTGATAAACAGATCTCGGAACGGTTAGATGAACAAAGGATATACCTTTATCCATTTTATGTAGCAATTCGTTTTTTGTTTGATGGACATCGAATCATACTTTTGTTTTCTAAATCTTTGGGAGCTCCAGCATCGGAAATTCTATTTGACATAATCGAAAGTTCAAGCTTACTTTTATAAAATTGCTCTTACAGTCTGTAAAAAATAATAAGCTGGATCAAATTCGAAGATTAAGGAACAACACAATCATCAACATTAACTGAAATAGATAATTAGATAATTTTAGCTTATACCGTCCGTTATACATTAAACACGCATGCGAAAACGTATTTTGCACTTACGCAGACGCATATGCGCAATCGTAACTGTCTTGTGTGCACGCGTAAAACGCCTATGAGCATGCGTCAATGCGGCGCATGCGCAGAAAGATTTTAGCTTTGAGGTCCGGATTATAGATCATTCCAGATTATGGATGTCCGAATTAACAACTTTTGACTGTATTCACTATCTAACTCACTTAAGAAAGCAGAGAATTGAGGCTGATTTAAATCTCGAGATCTTATAAAATTTATAACTTTTTTTATATATGACAAAACATTCTCCATATTTATTACTTTCGTGCATAGAACTTCTTGATGTATAATACAATGCATATGATGAATGTTTGAACCGTGAATTTCACTAAGTGTTTTTCTTAGTAATGCTACGAAGCCCTTGTTTTTCCCGGTCATTGATAATTTTGATATAGACAAAACAAACCAAAAAAAAAAAAAAAAAAAAAAAAAAAAAAAAAAAAAAAACCATTGTAGGTTTCTTTTTTTGCAACGAAGATATTGATTTGTAATCTCAAGATGTATGACATATTCACTATCTATCACTTAAGAAAGCAGTGAATTGACGCTGATTTAAATTCGAGATCTTATAAAATTTATAACTTTTTTTATATATGACAAAACATTCTCCATATTTATTACTTTTGCATAGAACTTCTTGATGTATCAATGCATATGATGAATGTTTGAACCGGAATTTCACTAAGTGTTTTCTTAGTAATGCTACGAAGCCCTGTTTTTCCCGGTCATTGATGGAGCGCCATCTGTAGCTACAGAATTTAATTTTGCCAAAGGTAGATTGTATATCTGCAGAAGTCAAAAAACACAAGTAAATATATCTTCTCTTGTGGTAGTACCAGGCATCGGTATTAGTTCCAGTAATTCCTCAAAAATGTTAAAATTCTTGTCACAAGAACGAAGAAACACTGCTAATTGAGCTTTGCCACTGCCGTGCTCTTGTCACAGGCAATGGAGAAACTTTCGAAACTAGATGATTTTGCTTTGATCTGATCACTTAAATTCACGGCTAAATCAGTAACTCTTTCCGCAACTGTATTTCGAGACAATGAAATTGATTGAAAAGCCTTCACATTTCCAGGACAAACAATTTCTCCAGCTTTCATTAGGCATTCCTTGATGAAATCACCGTCAGTAAAAGGCTTTGAATGTTTAGCTATCAATTCGGACAAGATGTAGCTTGCATGTACCGCCGCTTCACTTTCTTGCAATACTTTACTAAACATGGACTGTTGCTTTTTCACTCCTAACTTGAGCTCTTTCAACTTTTCTTCTCTCATTAATCCTTCGTAATTGTTATATTTCGATTTGTGTTGTTCGTAATGACGTTTAATATTATATAACTTTGATACATTAATAGTATTATTGCATATCAAGCAGATTATTTTATCTTTTATTTCACAGCAAAAATATTCTAATTCCCATTTTACTTGGAATATTCTATGTTCGTCAGCGATTTTTCGTTTAATTTTACTACTACTGAGATGAGTTGTTTGTTCTCGGCTTTTATAAGCTTTATAATTAATTTCTTGAATATACTGGAAACATCTTTAAATATCTGGATTTTTGTGGATGGCAACAGCAATTACGAGATATTTATTTATTAGGTATTAAATGCACGCGCTGTTTTATTTTTAACCTTCCAACGCAGCTGTCTTTTCAAAAATCGTCTGCGTTGCTAAGGCAACATGAACCAAATCTAATTACAATTCTAAATAAAAAAAACTAAATAAATAAATAACTATGAAATCCGTAACAATATGAATTAAGTAATAATTAATAATAAAGCAAAGTGCATGCACATGCATGCACCAATATATCATACAAAACTATGATTGGAAAACTGAGACCATGAGTTCGGCCACATTCGGCTATCGGGGGATGCATACAAGTTCTGAGTGCACGTGTTCCTCAAAAGCCGAAGGTAGCTGAACGCAAGCTACTCACACGCATTTGTAATTTAAGTAGTGTGCGTGTCAGCTCGCGGTGAGTAATCTAACAACACTGAATAAATTATCGTTAATTACTTAGCAGTAAACATTTCATTTTTTTCTTCGTCGATATGTTATTTTATTATTATATATTATTATTTGCCGATATATTGGCCGGGCCACAAAAATATTTGTTGTGAGCCGCATGCGGCCTGTGGGCCGCGAGTTTGACATCCTTGAACTAAAGGAAGCACAGGAATCACGAAAAATTTTGGAATATCCATTTCAATTAGTTTTTTGCATAACGTCAGTACACAAACACAAAAATAAAGCACTCTTTATTCCAAAACCGATTGTAAAATAGAAATTTTTACGATGTCTGTGTGTACACTGCACAAAGGAAAAAAGAAAATGGGACAGTTCTATATATCCCATTCTACTGGGCCGATTATGAAATTCAAATTACGTTTTCCATGTTTTGAAAGCGTGTCTTAGGATATGTATTAGATTTATATATAGCATTGTTCTAATACATGTATTTTAACACGAAATCGGACTTTTTCTGAAATAGCATGCCAATTTTTTTCCACATTTCGATTCTACAACTCAAATTACGCCAAACAGCCATGTTTTGTAAAAAACGCATGAGTAGTTTTTAAAAATTAGCTCTCAAAATTTAGCTCCTCAATGTTAATTGAATTTGGTATATATTTATAAATCTCTCTTTTTTTTTAATAAACTTATTGTGGATGAGCGGAACGATGTGACTTGTTTTCCTCTTCTCCCCACAATGGAGGGAAAGGAAAATAGATTGCCATGTATTAAGAAGTTCGCCAAGTGAATTATTCTCGGCACAAACTGAAAAAAATGTGCAAAGTTAAATTTTTTAATTTCTCCGTAAATTTTGCTCTAAATTTTACAAAATTTAATATTAAGGCATAATTTGAGTCGTGGAATCGAAATATGCAAAAAAAAATTGACATGTCTTTTCAGAAGTCTTATTTTGTGTCAAAATCCCTATGCTAGAACAATCCTAAAACTAAGTCGCTCTTTTGAGACATGAAAAATGCAATTTGAATTTCGTCAATCGGCCCAGTAGAACGGGAGATATAGAACTGTCCTACCCCTTTTTTTTGTGCATTGTATATAGGTATCTCACATAACTAAAAAATGATTAGTCGTACTGCTACTATGAGTTTTTCCAATACTTCCAGATGGGAAAAAAAGAGAGAGAGAGAATATATGAGATAAGAAACATCAAATTATCTTCAGCATTTATAAAAATATTACCAAATACTTAAAAAATATTATATTTGGCAAAATTCTGCCTCATACCTTAAATTAATCCAGTGAGGCATATTGTAATCATCAGCCACAGATGGTGCATTTCTTGGTAATTGTTTGTTGTAAAACTTAATAAGATAAAATTGAATACAATTTAATCATAAAAAATAACTGAAATAACACACAACATGAAGAAATAAATCATATTTTTTAAATGGAAAAATAAACCACGAAACACTTTAAATACGGATACTATAATATATTACAGTACAAAGTTGGAGATCCAAACTTGTTACTTCGGTGATTCTCGATTTTGGATTTTTCTGGGTGTTAGATCATTATATTTAAAAGTAGTATGATGATATGTAGAAATTATAAAATTAAAAATATGAAGTAGTGATTTATGAAATAATTAAACATGTATAACCCTAAAGAAATAAAAATACACACACACACACACCAAAAAAAAAAAAAAAAAAAAAAAAGAGAGAGAGAGAGAGAAAGGGGAAAAAAAAAAAAAATAGGAAAGTGGGAAGAAAAAGAAAAGAAAAAAATTATAATATTTTATTGTTTCCTTTATTAAACATTTCTTTGCACTAATATTTTCTCTTTAATTCTTCAGATAGCCATTACACTTCTTGTTCAGTTACAAAGCTCTATTGCTCAAGCACTGTAAATATCACTTCAGGAATTCCCACTAAAATGTCAAATGAAATCTTTTGTTCTCAACCACCTCTCTGTCATTTTCTTCACTACCGGTACTGATATTTTCTAGATTTAGAATTATACTATAGATTTCACCATTCATTAGTTGATTAATAGATTTAGATTCTACTACAGATTTCACAGTTCATTAGTTGACTGATAATTGGTCAGTGCCCATCATAATGAATATCATCTTCATTCATTACCACTTCTCCATATTTCCTCACAAATTCCATAAATTAGAAAATTTCACTTTCTGTTTGAGATATCTGAAAACCTTCAAATGCGTTGTCATAACCAAAAAGTTTAGCTAGAGCTCACTCTACACTATTGATGATGTATCATACAGAACCATAGCTAAAGCTTTCAGCACCCAGACGCAACTGAAGATTTCATGCACTCTTCCATTTGCCAAGAATGAAAAATATTTCATTCGAAAATTGCAGCTAGGAACAGGTGTCCCCTTGTCCCTCCACCCAGCTATGCCTTTGGTGCCATGAGATTGGCTGCTGATAATAAAAGACATGTTTTTCTGCTACATGTTGTCATGCTTCGATCACACGCTGATGAAGTTAACCCTGAATAATTAATACGAACTCCTGAATTATATTAGTTTAGTTATTCCTTATACTTACAAAAATTCCTGCATATGTTTAACCCTTAACTAATGTGGCTTATTTGAGTTTTGAATAAATAAATTCCCACACATAATTAAGGCTTATCTAGGGTCAGCGATAGATATTTTGTGAGCTGATGCAGTCTGTGCGCATCCAAAATTTTGCTGCTAAGTGCCTCCCTAACTTCTAAACATTTTGGCTGCCCTAAATTTTACATCCCAAATGCCTTCCCTAATTTTAAAACTTTTGCCATTCCTTAATTTTGTTCTTTGATACTTCTTTAAATTCTAAAAATTGTCTTCCTTAAATTCTGCAGCCCGGTGTAACAACACCAGTTCTGGCACTGATCCTGGGCTTAACTGAATAACAAATCAGTTATTCTCAATTTAAAACAGCATGAAGTGTAACCTTTTAGCCAATGAGTATCATTTACAAAATGTATTTTTTGCATATGCAAAGAAATTAATGTTAAATTTCTTCTCTTCAACAGACTTAATACTTCGCAGCGCACTTAAATGAAGTCTGTAATCATCACCAAGCATAATGTCAACATAAAGGTTGCCATACTCTTTGCAATTCAATTACTAATGTTGAATTTTTTTTAAAACTATTTAGGCACTACTGTGTGAGTCGTTTCTCAAGCTGAATTTCCATTCTTTCTTTCTAGAAGTTTAGTTTGTTGAGTTATTTGGTTTAATAGCTTCAGAATGTTTTGTAAAAGCTTTCTATTATTGGTTACAATGTTGATAAAATGAGCCACTGTGATTAAAATAGTGATAAAAAATATGTGCTGATGAATCAACGGATTTTTTGTATGATAGTAATTCCAAAAACCAAGATAATGAAGAAAGCAATAATGATGACAGTATTCCATGTTTTTGAGTGTTCGCTCAAAGAACTATTTCTAGAAGTTCTGAAACAAGTTCCGATGAAAAAGCAGATGAAGTCAACAACTGACAATCCTCCAGTCCTTAAACAATTTTAGAATCATCATGGGATTACTGATAATATTCCCGAATCCACAGTTGATGCAGAAGACTTATTTATATGTGACAACTTTTTTACATATTTAGTCACAGAACCAAACCAGAACCAGATTTTATTATCAAACTATGAATAGGTTTAAAATATATCACAAAAGTATGAAATGGAAAGATAATATAATTCCAGAGAGGAAAAAATTTTTAGAGCTCATAATTTACATGGGACAAGTGTGTAAGGGTACACAAGATGACTATTGGTCAACTGATCCCCACACAGACAGGGGTTTATTTATTTATTTATTTTTTCTTTAAACGAAGTCAAGGGATGGGTTTTGTCAAATATTAACCATCAAGACATCGCGACGAATCTGATCATTATTTATAATAATATGATTATTATTATAAGCCAAGCCTGTACTAAATTATCTGGTTGAAAAATTTAATAGCATTTGCAACCAAAACAACATGTATCATACATAACAGCATAATACTTTGCAGCTTGTGCTTATTTTTTAGAGCCTTACAATGCTGAAAAACTTGTTAAGTATGGCATATTCATACAAATATTAGTTGAAAGTGACACATGTAATATTTGCAATATTAAAGTTTATGCAGCTCAAGGATTACACTTTATTGAAATGATAAACACAGTAATATTTCTATATACTGTTACTGGCATTATATGTACACTGCTTGACATTGAAAATGCAACACCAAGAAGGAGTGGTCAGAAAGCGATGAAATTTGGAAAAACGACAAAGACAACAAGCAGCAATAAGTGATCTTTATGTCAAAATGATAGTCAGAATACAGAGCGAGAACGGTGTTGGCTCAGTAGGATGTAGGACCACTGCTGACAGAATCGATTCACGTCAGAATACACGTCTAAGCATAGAACGTCAATCGGCTCAGTGCAGTATGGTAGTCACCTGAGGGATGGCTCTCCATTCCCTTTCAACCATCTGCCACAGTTTGTCATCTGAGCGAGGCAGGGGAAGAGTCTGCAAACGGCGTCCAATCACATCCCACACACGTTCGATTGTTGACAGGTCAGGAGAGTACGTAGCCAGGGAAACATCTGTATACCTTGCAGCATGTTGGCAGATGCGAGCACTGTGTGGTTGGGCGTTATCCTGCTGAAAAATTGCACTAGGCAGCACCTCAAGGTAGGGGATTGCCACCAGCCACCGTACATTATCCAAGTATCATTGGGCCGTCATAGTGCCCTGAATACGAACTAGAGGTGACATGGAATCGTAGGCAATAGCGCCCCAAATCATTATGCCACGTTGTCACACAGTGGGGCATTCCACAGTTACTGCTGGATTAGACCTGTCTCCACGTTGACGCCACACAAGTATGCGGTGACTGTCACTGGATAAACAAAAGCGAGACTCATCTGAGAACACGACATTTCACCATTCTATCATCCACATTGCTCCAGTCCGGCAACATTCTAAATGTTGGTGTCTATGCTGTGGGGTCAATGGCAGTCTTCTTAACGGAGTCCATGAGTGCAGGCCACATTCAACCAATCAACGGGAAATGGTTCTGGTCAACACGGGAACATCCAGGGTATCTTGCACATGCTGCAGAATAATGGTACAAGTGACTTGCGGGACCGCCACAGCTTGTCGGCGGACACGTCGATCCACGTGTGCTGAGGCCACTTTGGCTGCACCTGCACCCCTCCTTCTTCGCACATTTCCTTGTTCCAACCATGTTCACCATAGCCGATGCACCGTGCTCGCATCCATGTGGGTATCAGCTGCAATTTGACGTAAGGACCAACCTGCCCTTCTTAGTCTGATCCCCATACCCCTCATAAATCTATCTGCTGGAAGTGCCTTCATTGACGGCGGCCTAGCATTCTCTCCTATTACATGCATACTCCGGGACAAAAACCTACTTTCTTCAATAGTTCGTCTGGCAGAAATAACGACACAAATATTGCCCATTCTGCATGTTCCTTCCCTTATATCTTACTTCACGTGCGTTGGAGAGCTGCGCATTTCACATCATTCGCATAACTCAGTGACGTGCGTCTACTCTAAAATTTGCATAAATTTCTGACCACTCCTTGTTGGTGTTGCATTTTCAATGTCAAGCAGTGTATATGAACAATTACTGCAACAGCGTCGATAACACACAAGTCCTTTTACAAAAAAGAATACAAATTTATGGAACCAATAGGAAAAATGGAGATTTGTCTGATAAAACTAATCCAAAAAGAAGAGCTGCTTTATGAATTTAAAAACCAAAATGACTATGCAGCCTTTTCTCATGCCAGGAAGGAAAAGATGTCCAAACACGGATGTGGTTTGATAGATCGCGCACTTTTTTTGCTACTGTCATATGATTCATTTACTTTTGATGTCAGGAATCATGTATTGAATTTCATGAATCAAAGCCTGCTTTAAATGAATCACAGCACAACTGCTGACTGGAATAATTATGTAAGAGATACCTGTGAAAATTCTTGCCCTAATTATTATCTTGCCCTAACATTACAATGGATGCAACAAAATTGTGGAAATTTATGAAAATGTATTCACAGAAGAAAAAAAAAAAAATATGGCATGTTCTTCTCCCACAATGGGTTTTTGGAAGATTTTGTTATGTGAGAGACTATTCTGATGCTTCAATATCTCTTCAGAACACTTTTATTACCCTGAAGAGTCATTATCACATCAAGCTGCTGTTCTGCACTGAGCTAGAGCAGTTCACATCGTACTAAATAAATACACATGTATTTAACTTATATACTCCTTACATACTGCTTGAAAACAGTAAGTTTCTGATGCCAAGATTATGACAAAATCTTCAATTTCTCTACAGATACTTGTAAAATATCTTTTACATTGACAGTTTTCTTTAAGTAGTTGATTTTTACATTATACTTCTAATCTTATTTCTAGTACTCTTATTTATCTTATTTACTTTTTTGTAATGACTCAAGATGATTTAAAACTCAGTATTATTACTAGAAACCAAATACATTTAATTTACAATAGTATCCATTTCTGTAATTGAATAATTTACCATTTTCTCTCATATGGCTGCAGAGATATTTTTATGACAAACATTTGAACTATTTAGAAATTATTAAAAGTCTTTATGTAATTGGAAAGAGTAGCAATATGCATTTTAACTGAAATTTGCAAAACAATGCAATTTAGTAATGAAATGAAATTTACAAATCATTAGTAATGAAATGAAAAAATTAAATGTATTTACACAGTGCAGTTACACACAAAAACAATAGTTTTGTAGTTCTAACAACTAACTACAGTGACCCCAGCAAATGGTATCCTAGCTGCTGTATTTATTGCTTTCGGTTTATGCATTATAGATATTATTATAGTAGGGTAGCAATTTTGTTGAGGCACAAATTTCTATGGTTAACTTAATGAGTTTTGAATAAATAAATTAATTTCAGATTTTCCCATGTTTTAAGTTTTCATTATAACTGATGGATTGATTTTCGTATTTAAATAATACTTGTCAAAGTATCTTTTCTAAGCTTCAAATCATATAATAGAACAACAAATATTCAAAAAGAATGAAACATAAATGACATCGACTTAAATGATCCACGCAATGACATCATAATATTAACAGCATTTGATTGATTTATAAATACAAATATCAATGTGAAAATATACATCATACTGCTTTTTCAGTTAACAGGCCAGCACACCAGATATCTTCCCTTTCCTTACCTAAGAACCCCTTTTCCATAAACAGCTACTGTAAATTTCAGAACATAAAATTTTGAAAAATTGTTCATGCAACATTTTTTTTAATGATTTTAAGAAGTCCTAGGTGTAAATATAAATCATGAATTTTTTTTCCCCTGAAATTTAATGATTTATCCACAATCTTTCCATGATTTTTAGTCATTCTCTCCCTTCCCCAAGACAAAATTATTACCCTAATTATGGTAAAAAGATTGGCAGCAGTTCCTATTCTGATAGTATGTATTTTTAATTTACACATTAAAAATTTACTTTTCAATAAAAAAAAAGAGTCAAAATTAATGAATCTTAATTTTCACATTGCAGGAAATTCATTATATACTATATAAGTAATAAAAAAAAGTGCAAAGACGTACTTTAAACAATGGCACTGCATGTAATGGCTGTTCACCTAAACACACCAGATCACTTCCAATTCCTATAATTAAGGATGATATACTTACATAATAGAATAATATAAAAGAGTATAATAAATATGTAGCAATATATTAATTTTCTGCATAATCTATTGTATGTATTTACCTATTGACCACTTTTGATAAACAAAAACAGTCAGTTGTCAAACAGTGTAACTTAGCACCAACAAGGAATATACATGACATCACAACATATAAGATCCTCACCCTGGTTTTATGCAATTCCAAATAATCTTCAACATGAGAATCAAATTTTTGTAAAAAAGGAAATATCTTAACTGTTATAAAGTCGTCAGCTTGTATTTATGATTCAAAAATATCTTTCTGAAAAGCTTTCTTACAAACTAAACTTTTTCAATAAAATATTGTTTTCAAAACTCTTCTTAACACAGTTCTTTTAGAGACTTTATTACATACTTGTTCATTAAGAAGACATCAAAGAAAAATACATGAATTAAAAAAATATATATATATTTTTGTCACAGACATCTTTAGTTTACTAAAACCATACAAAAGTTAAATCAATGTAGTTTTATAAATTCTGATACTGATAACCACATTTAAAATATTGAGAGTCTTTAGGTTTGGTAAAATGGTGCAATAAAAACCCTCATTTAGATTCACCTTTTAAATGAATTTATGTGGTGCTTAGTTCACAAAGAAAGTGATTATTTTATATATATTTTTGATTCACTCAGACATTTTTGGTTGTAAGAATGAATGATGCAAATTTTAATGAGTTTGCTTACCAGATACAGTCAAAAGTCGTTAATTTGGACACCCATAATCCGGAATTATCTATAATCCGGACCTCAAAGCTACAAACTTTCTGCGCATGCGTCTCTTTGACGCATGCACGTAAGACCTTTACGGCTGCAAATATGCGTGTGTGCATGCGCAAAAGATGTTTACGAATGCGCGTTTAATGTATAACGGACGGTATAAGCTAAGCTAAAATTATCTAGTTCAGTTAATGTTGCAGATTGCGTTGTTCCTTAACCTTCGAATTGGATCCGGCTTATTATTTTTTGCAGACTGTTAGAGCAATTTTATGAAAGTAAGCTTGAACTTTTGATTATGTCAAATAGAATTTCCGGTATATATTTACTAATATGTAAAGGATCTACAAAGCGAAAGTACGTTTCAAAGTCCATTAAACAAAAAGTGGAATTGCTGCAAAAAATGGATAGAGGCATATCCTTTGTTTCTTAACCATTCCAAAATCTGTTTATCAATTTCATGCTGCTCTGTGGCGGGGGGCGGGACATCGCGGCGCGCAATTAACTGGAAGTTGATCTGTCAGCACTATCCTTATCTTCAGGGCAGATGTTTTTATTTTATTTGGCTTATAATTCCTTACTAAATGTAGTATTTCATCTCGATGTACTCCGTCTTTGATATGATTTAAAGCAAATTCCTCGTCATTACTTTAATAAAGTAAGCAAATAAATATTAAGCTTTTTTTTTGTAAATTTTGATACCCTTTCCCCTTCATAATAATTGCTCTTTTATTCATAAATTAACAGTTTCTATCATATTTTTAATTTTATAATTTCTGCATGCCATCTTACCAGATTTAAACTGATGATCTATAATCCCGAATCGCCAAAGTCCCAACGAGTCCGAATTAACGACTTATGACTGTACTCTGAAGGCTTATAAGGTATTTTCTCCCTCCTTTCTGCATGCCTTTGTGGTGTAACAGCACACTCAGCATGTATTCGAGAAGTTTAGGTTCGAGTTCCAGCGAGATCATTACACATTTTTCACATCTCCTGCTTCAAAAAAGCCCTAATGACTCTACAGGCTTGAGCTCATATTTATTAATTTTTTTCACCTGCTATATCTGTAATTAATCTAAAGATTATTTATTTAATTAAATAAAGAGTGATCTGTTTCTATAAACTTCTACTGGAATGACTGCCATACATTTAGAATGATCTCTGACAACTTTTACAGTCAAAGGGAAAACAGTCAAGTATCCATTTTTACTTCCTTGTACGAAGTAAAAAGGAAGTATGGTAATCGCAAAAAGTTTCAGGCAGCATATTTCAACGAAAATATTCATTTCGACCGCTATCGAATGCAATTTAACGATGTTTTTGCGTGAAATCTGTACGTAAGAACAGAATAAAACACTCTTTTCCTCCAAAAAAATTATAAAACTGCTTTAAAATAAATTCTGAAGAGAATTTTTCGTGGTGTCTGTACGAACGTATGTACGTACGTACGTATCTCGCATAACTCAAAAACGAGTAGCCTCAGAACGTTGAAATTTTATATATAGGGACTGTTATACCATGCAGATGTGCACATCGTATTTTGGTTGCAATCGGCAGCACAAAACATATAAGTATTACATAAGTAATATATGTACAATTATCAACAATTTAAAAGCTGTTTAAGTGCGGTTAAGTTTTAAATAATATGGTGGACATATTTGTTTACATTTGAAATTTGGCAGAATAGGCAGAATTTGTTGCTAATCTAGAGAAACTAATCTTCGCAACAACAAAGATAGTGCCTTCATTTTATTATTGCGAATTAAATCATGCTTAATCCTTTCTGGAATTTTTTCGAGGAAATAAGTGTTTAAGATTTACTTCGTAATTTTTAATACAGATATTTTGAGTTTTTATGTATTTGTCGCAAAGTGAGAACTGAATTAATTGAATGAGAAATACTAAATCATCTGTGAAAAACTGTTTCTTTTTTGTTTTGTTTGCTTAATTTCTTTTATATATCGTTCTAGCTTTATCATAGTATTTGAATAGAACATGTGGCTACGATATAAATTTTGCGCATTCTGAGTTATAATGTGAATGCAATATTAAGTTAACCTAGCGCCAGAGTGTCGCTATGGTAAACAAATATAGTGAATTTTAAAGAGTGCATTTATTCTATTGTGGTTTATGCGCTGTCGACGAAGTAGATTTAATTCAATCCAATAAGTTTAATGAAATGCAAGAAAAAATGCATTTATTAAGCATTTCTTTCAATGTAAGTTGCTTCGTTTTATGCGATAATACTTTTTATTTAATTCTATAAACAGACATAATTTCTTGTTCAGTTACAAAGTTCCGATGTTCAAGTCCTATAATTGCTGTGTCGAGAATACCGACTAATTTGTCAATCGAAATTTTTTTGTTTTCAATAACCTCTGTGTCACTTTCTTCACTGTCGGAAGCGAATTATAATGACGAGGAACTTGATTTAATTCATATCAAAGAAGGAGTACATCGAGATGAAATACTACATTTAGTAAGGAATTATAAGCCAAATAAAATAAAAACATCTGCCCTGAAGATAAGGATAGTGCTGACAGATCAACTTCCAGTTAATTGCGTGCCGCGATGTCCCGCCCCCCGCCACAGAGCAGCATGAAATTGATAAACAGATTTTGGAATGGTTAAGAAACAAAGGATATGCCTCTATCCATTTGTTGCAGCAATTCCACTTTTTGTTTAATGGACTTTGAAACATACTTTCGCTTTGTAGATCCTTTACATATTAGTAAATATATATCGGAAATTCTATTTGACATAATCGAAAGTTCAAGCTTACTTTTATAAAATTGCTCTAACAGGCTGCAAAAAAATAATAAGCCGGATCCAATTCGAATATTAAGGAACAACGTAATCTGCAACATTAACTGAATTAGATAATTTTAGCTTAGCTTTTACCGTCCGTTATACATTAAACGTGCATGCGTAAACGTATTATGCACATGCGCACACGCATATTCACAGCCGTAAAGATCTGACGCGCATGCGTCAACGTGATGCATGCGCATTAAGTTTGTAGCTTTGAGGTCCGGATTATGGGTGTCCGAATTAACGACTTTTGACTTTTAGCAAGCCACATAAAAAATAAAACTCCTTTTTGAACACTTGTTTTTAATTTACTGCAATTTTAACACAATTAAACCATACCATAAATTGAATACTGAAAAATTAATACCATAAATTTAATACAGAAAAACTAATGTCATGTTCTTAAAATAAAATCTATTTATATAGTTCTATCACAGTGTTCATTAACAATCGGTCCGTTTCATTGGATGGAATGGCTCTTTTAAATTCTTCACTTCATCAGATTAAATGATGCATTTAAGCTCCTAATAGAACTACTGTACATAAACATGCACAATTTTAAGCCTGTAATTTTAATTTTCATTACTAAATTTGATAACGGTTAACATACATGTGCGTTGTGTATTCCAGAGGGTGCCCATCGAACACTCGCGTTGAAAGTTCGCCATTGAATTTCAAACTCTATTAAGTGACTGCAGAAATAAAAATTAAAAAAATTATTAACTCTGCAACATATCAACGGATTTCAAGTGACTAGTGGTGTTTTTCTTTTTCTCCATCTTCATTAAAGGCGTCAAGGTCATTCTCTGCAACATGATAAGTGATGATGTCTGCTAAAATCTTCTAATGGTGTTTTTATGCGAATGTCATTAAATATTCAAGCATGTTGCTTCAAAATTGTTTTCCGAAGTGTATTTTGGTGCAAATTTCTCGAGAAGTGTGTTTTAGTGAAAATTCTTCAGAAAAAGTTATCATGATTCGGTGCTTCTAAAAAATTGGTTATTCAGTGAAAAGCGACTTGTGTGATCAATACAAAGTGTTTCAGTGCTTTATTTTACAAATTCGCAGTAGTGATTATTTTGCAAATTTTTCAGTGTTTAGTTTCCAACAAAAAGTAAAAAATTAATAATGGAATTTTCAAATAAAAAAATATTTATCTATAAGAATGTCAGCACTCTGATCATCAACTACGGCACACTGAAATCTATCCCTACTTATTGTAGCAATTTTTGTAGATGCTTTTAACTGAGACCGGGTTGCCATTCATTTAGCACCACCCAGGAGGCACGTGTGAATTAAGGATATCACGGATGTGGGTAACATTGCCTCATAAATTATTACCAGGAACAAATGAAAACAAACCAATGAATTGTAACAAGATCATAGTTAATCCCCTTGAATATACGATA